CGGACACATGATCACAGGGTTGGATCCTCAGGAGTAAGGATACTCAGCTCCCGCAAACGTTGATCTGCCACTGCTTGCCCTGGGAGTGGGTCATTCGTGTGTGTGTGTGTGTGTGTGTGTGTGTGTGTGTGTGCGTGTGTGTGTGGGTGTGTGGGTGTGCGTGTGCGTGTGTGTGCTGTTAGGTTCGCTATACACAATTCCACAAGAAGCATGACTGTTCCAAACTGTTTTGCCGGAACTTCACCGACTCATCAGGAGGTTGAAGCATGACAGTCTGCCCAGGATGCATTTGACTGATAGAGAAGGACTCTCCACGTCGCCCGAGTTAGTGATACTCTGAGAAAAGAGGTCGACTTTACTCGCAGCAACACTGCAATCCTTTGTGTGTCTGTGTGTTGTGATGTTTGCATGTGTGCGTGATGATGTGTTACGTATATACTTCCAGCATAAAGCGCTCCCCCGATACCCAACGACCACTCATTACAATTCTGCGTATTCTCCTGTAAACCCTAGCAGATATCATGTGCACGAAAAGAAGGACACAGCACAGAGGAACAAAGAAAACGAAAAGAACAAGGACAGTGACAGACTGTTTCATCGGACTCTCACCAACTCATCGGGAGGCTGAACCCTCGACAGTCTGCTCAATCCCCATATTGATGCTTTGAGTCATAACAAGTCTACTTCAATCCCTGTTGCGAGTGAACAGCCCGGCAGGTGACAAGACAAGCGGGAAGGCAAAAGAGGCAGCAGTACAGCAGAGGCCAGGTGGGCGGGCAGGTGGGTGGGAGAGTACAGACGCAAACAATAAGGCAGCCAGAGAAGTAGAAGCCAGGCAAACGACTCAGCAAACACATGGGCGGGCAGCTAGCCAGGCAGCAAGAGCAACCAAGCAAAAAAGCAGAAGGTGGCCAGGCGGGCAAAAATACAGGCACACAAGGCAAGCGTGTCAGCGGCACAGGCACACGTGGTGTAAGGATGGGCAACCAGGCCGCAGGGAAGGCCCGATAAGGCAGTCCACACAGACCACAGCAGATCGTCACTTACTCAGCATCAAGAGCCAGGGGGACACGAGACGAATGTTTGTGACAGCTAGTGAACATGGAGAACACAATCATCCTGAAGATAGCCGTCATTGTGATAGTATTTTAGGCACTTTCGGGAAACAAGCACTGAATATTCGGCGCATCTTCAAGGTGGCTTTTAGCCCCCGCTTTCACCGCAAAAAAAGAAAAAACATGGGGGAAGACCAGAACGTGCAAAAAGTGGACAGCACAGAGAAAATGCTTACAACCACAGGAAGGAAAATAAGTTATAGATAATGTGATTGTGTGTGTGTGTGCGCGCGTGTGAGCTTGTGCATGCTGGCATGCATGTGTTTGTGTGTTATGGAACGTCTCCAAAATGGACCACAATCCGTCAACACATAGATATATATATAGTATTATATCATAGACAATAATAATCAGAGTGCAAGGTGGGGGACATCTGGTTCGTTGAGCACCTAGTGCTCACATCGCTGCCCACTAAAAACGAACGTGCGCACCCAAAAACTGAGAAGTGCCCCCTCGACTCACCTGCATCATAGACAATAATAATCAGAGTGCAAGGTGGGGGACATCTGGTTCGTTGAGCATCTGGTGCTCACATAGCTGCCCACTAAAAACGAACGTGCGCACCCAAAAACTGACAAGTGCCCCGTCGACTCACCTGCAGCTGACGGGACGCAATCACTAAACATGATGTAGGGGCCGCAAACCTTCAGCAAGAACAAAAAGGACAGCTGCTAAAATTCAAACCGTAGAGAGAAGATTAGTGTGGCCCCTGCACAACACAAAGAAGAAAACAAAAAAAAGAAAAGACTGCCGTGTATTTTCTCTGCCGCAGAACGTTTTGCTGTTGCTTCTAGTGGTGGAAGGCTGGCCACTGTTTGTGTAGGTCAGCACTAGGTCCCTAGACACCAATCTACCTCAGGTCACTTTTGCTGTTCTTTCTAGTGCTGGAGGCTAGCCGCTGTTTGTGTAGTTCATCAGAATTATCACTAGGTCCCTACACACCATTCTACCTCAGGGCACACTCAATACACTTTGTGCGTGTACGTGCTGTTTGGTTACTGAGATAGTTATTGTTTTCAAAACCTTGCGGCAATCGGTGTTTGGGCAAGGGCAAAACCAACATAAATAATTGAGGCAGTGAGAGGTAGCAGACGGAGATGTGGGATCACAACCAAGTGGAAGAGAAACAGCCTAACCCATCCATGGAAAGCATTTTTCTTCATTGTTGTGCAATCTCAATCTCTCAAATAAAAGCAATGTTGACTCATTGTTGAGTATCATGCTTCCAGGACAGGATCGTACAAGAAGTCCATGAAATGAAACAAGTACATAACCCGGGGTGGATTGTGAGGTCCCCGGCCTCACATTTGCCTTTTGAATAACATTAACCTTTCTTAAACCACTAGTACCTTTGACGTTTCGAAAAATAGCGGGCCTCTGACCTTTCAGGAGGCCGAAACGAAACGACGGCCGCCGATTAGATTTATCAATGGCAGCCGTCGTCAGGCCCAGCCTCCGAGTTCTTCGGGAACTGGCGTTTTCCCTCATTTGTGAAGCGGCAAAGGTACTGCACCTTATCAACACAATGTAGAGTTTCTTTTCATGTTGCTCTCCCCATATATCCTTGTCCATCTGAACACCTTCAGGAAGTGGTGGAACTTCGTCATCCAGCTCCTCATCAGTGCCCATCCCAGCAAGCGGCCCAGCATAATCGTGATATTTCACTTCCGAGTCTCTCTCTTTGGCGAGGTGCTGACTTGCAAGTCGGTGTGCCTCTTCCCATTCCAACTACACGAAGAGAAGAATGCAAAACGGAATCACGGACATTCATCCAGCAAAATGGTTAGCGAAGCAAGACTATGAACTTCAACAAAGATAACTGAAACGACGAAATTTTCTTTGACGTTGTACTTTTTTTCATGGCTACGCTGGAGCCGGACACCAGACCAATCCAGACGTCTGGCCGGAACTCTGTCCGGATGTATCCCGACCAATCCAGATGTCCAGCTGGAACTCTGTCCGGGTGTATCCGGATCCGCCCTGTGATCAGGACGCCCGGATCGCCGCCATGACCTTTTTATAATACTGTGACATGCATGGTCATGCTGCAGAGTCCTTTACAGAGGGAGACTCTAAATTTCAAAGAAGATGACAGCAAAGACTAAGCTATGTGACATTGTATGTATACTTTCTCTCCGCCTAGAATCATAACTTAGAATCGTAACTCATATCACTGTCATATGTAATATGCATGCATATTACATCAGTGCACACAAAAAATACATAACATATCGCCACAAGCAACGGCGCGATAAGTGTAGACATACCGATTACTCTGTTATTTTTCTCAGTCCTTTCCTCGTGTAGATATAATTGTTCCGTAGCGGTGATGATCACGAATGCATTCAGGACACACATGTCAGAAGAATAACTGAAAGGAAGGACAAACAAAAGGCTAGAACGAGAGCAAGGTGCAACAGAAGTTTCTCTCTCTCTCTCTCTCTCTCTCTCTCTCTCTCTCTCTCTCTCTCTCTCTCTCTCTCTCTCTCTCTCTCTCTCTCTCTTGTTCACCCACTACTTTTTTTCTTTTTTCCATTCTGGGGAGCACCAGTCCGGTTCCTATTCCACCGGCAAGTCAGAAATAAATATTACGTCATGACACACTCACGCTTCCTTCCGTCTGGCCGAAGGAACCCTGACCAACATTGATTACTCCCGCACCGTGGAGGATTAACTGTCAGCTTGCCTTACTTACACCTTTCCTCTCAGGTCCACCACATGAGCCTGTCATATAAAAAATAAAGAGCAAGAAAGGTAAGAGAAGCTACGGAAGTTGCAATCTTGGAGTTCGCCCTCCAAAGTTATGTGACCTGTGATGGATGTTGTCCTTCTGCTGGTTGGGATCTCTGCCTTTTCCACCCTGTTTCTGAGTTGTGCCAGTCTTTCCATCATATGTGGAAGTCATTTATCTCTGCAACTTTGCCCCTTGCAAGCCACACTTAGTGAATTTTGCCTTGACTCTTCTCTGTTGCTCTTCGTCATCTGGCATGACTGTCCACTACTATTTCAAGAAATTTGAAGTTTTCGATCACTGGTGACAGAAAAAACTTGTGAATCAGAGGTTCTCCATATCATAACATGATTTTTATTCATTCCCAGTACTCGTTTTATCAGATAGATAAATCATAAATCTATGATCAACATTGCATTGTTTACAGCTAACCTCAATTGCTTTAGCATAGGTTCCCCATACCTCAGGCAAGTCGTCGTTTCCAAATACGATTGTTTGTTAACGTTTCTTCTACGTCCTCTATACAAGATGACGATGATGATGATGAGATGATGATGATGATGATGATGATGATGATGATATAATCTTTTTCCTAGTAAAGTGAATATTTCATTTTGTTCTTTTTTTAATCTACTTCATGTCCATAATGATGGAATGCAAGCTTTTGGTACTCCAGAAAACAATTTTTGATTGAACCTGTCCTTGCACAATGGATACAGGCTACACATGGGAAAACACCTTATGGATTTGATGATGATGATGATGATGATGATGATGATGATGATGATGACGATGATATCATCCTGTTTTTTTCACTACCCCTGTATATGTTCTGTAAAGAGTCTAAACTTCAAAAGACTAGACGATAAAGTGCAACCGCTATAAGATATTGAAGGAAGCCCGCAGAATTGTCGGCAGAACTATTTAAACGAGTTCTAATTCTGTCTCCTACCTGCTTCTTTTTTCGTGTGAGATGCCATATTCTCCAGCAGAGATACTCCAGACGACTCCCTCGTTCGTGGACATTGCGCATTGCCGTGGCCTGCACACAGTCAAAGAAGGTCGAGCAAATAATTGTCAGACATGTGCCATTATCAAGGAGCTCTGCTCCGTTTCCCCCCTTTACCTGTTCTTTAAACTTCTTTTCCTTTCTTTTTTTTTTTGCCCCTTTGAAGCCCTTTCCCTTTTTCGAAAGGGGGAAGCCCCTAACACTTATCATTGGACAGGGTTTAGAAGCAACCTATCGCTCAACAGTTCCTGGCACGCACGGCTCATATACTGGGCAGGTAGCGTAAGCTTTTTTGTTACTGTTTCCGGTCGAACTGCTCCCCAATTTAGGATTATCCATACTCAGGCGTGTAGAGAGCGTCTGATCTACACGGATGGGGAGTGCATTGATTCAAACGGTGATCTAGTGCATGCAGCTGCTGAGAGTGAGGTGGAGATAAGGCAGTAGTAGACTTGGGATCTCGAGTATTCAAGTTGTTAACGGCATGTGTCGTTCTCCGAGTGGATGACGCAGAAGGGCAATGACCTGAAGGAGTTGGTATGTTGGATGATCAGCTTCCGTACTTCACTTGCAAATGATGTCATCCAGGATGTTGAAGCCCCACATGATGTGCTACACTGCTACTGCATTTCTGCAGGTAGTGCATCTTCTTTCCCCGTCCTGGATTCTTGCAGGCGCACAAAGATACGTCTAGGATCGGAAGTTTCAAATTTCTATTGCGTGGATTAGGCCAGACTGAGGGAGCAAGAACGTTCAGGTGCCATACACTGCTACTGTATTTCTGCATGGAGCGTGTGTCTTCTTTCCCCGCTGTGGATTCTTGCATGCACACAAAGATGTGTCTCGGTGGACGTATCTTTGAAGTTTCTATTGCGAGGACTAGGTCCGACTGAGGGAGCTAGAACGTTCAGGTGCCATCAGCATATGTCAGTTGATGGTTGGTTTTCGTGGCTTTCGCAGCTTCTGCACCATCATGAGGGAGGGGCCGAATTGGGGCCAGGGATGAGGTGCCACGTACCCAACTTCTTCATTTTGAACCATACGTCACAGAGAATTCAAGCCCGTGGGACCCGGTCCCGGAACTTTGAAATTTATAATCCATGAGTAGTAAAACCGACACTTGTGTCCGCCTGGGGAAACCACTCGACTCATGGCTACGGGCATACTCACACTGCAACTTCCCAGGAGTATCTCGGCGTCATGACGTCCAAACTCATTGAAGAAAGTCTTACTGCAAGTACGCCCTAAGAAAGCTAGGGAAAATGCTCCGGACTCAGTACATAGCTTCAAAAAAACTGAGCTTCTATGTAATCGTAACTACCCAATCTGGGACTCTGTACTTCGTACCCGGACAAACTGCCGACGAAGCAAGAAAAGCCGACGCTCCTGCATAAACTAGGAATACTGTGTGGCCATTGATAGCTAAGAACGTTATTTGAAAAATGTTCAAAAAAGTTAAAAAAACTGCCTCCTTTATTAACCTTAATAATTCATATCAATTGATTCAATTATCAATATCACTTTGACAAAACTGGCTCTTTCGCATAGTTATTGTAGATGGTCCCATCTCTGGTGAAGACCTCATCCCATCATTTTCTTTTCTTTTTCCCGCAAAGAAACTCATCCATCCTACCAATTCTAACGGATGTCCCACAGGCGACATGCATTAGGGGAAGGCAAAAAAAAAAAAAAAAAAAAAAAAAAGACCTCATCCCATCCCAAGACAGCTAAAAGAGACTGAACCTTCTACATAAATATAGATGCTACCAATGGGCCTAGCTCAGTTGGTACACCCATGAACTGTTGAAATACAGACCCAAGTTCGAATCCAGATACAATCAGATCACCAGAATAAAATCATTCTGAATTACTTGGGGCCGGTCAGAAGTTTAATGATGATATCTCAAGGCCGTCGCCCTTTTAAAAAAAAATAATAATAATAAATAAATAAATAAATATAGGGGGCAAAAGAAAAAACCTGACCTAGAACGGAAAACTGCCCTGCATACCAAACTGTCTCCTATACCAAAGTCAACACGCAGATTCATCATAAGTTATAACGGAAGCCATTACAGATGCAATTGCCATTTACTGCCCATGGAATCCCATGGCCGCCATTAACCGGAATTGTCTCCAGACTTGTCCGCATAAAAATTACTAAAAATGGACATGGACATACAGATGGTCAAGTGGAAGGACAGTAGTGCAGGACAAGCAAACATCCAGGTCCATTCTGACAGGGGCAATGACGGAACCAGGTTCTGATGAATTGCAATAATTGTGGCACTGCCGCGTAGCGGCGCAGTACACAAACTTTGACAACGATGTCCTCCCACTGGCCACTGGAGGGAGGAGTGGCAGGGAGGCTCGAAATAGAATAAATCACACTACTGTCCAAGTATATTGTTCGTCTTCTTTGCTGTTGCCGATGTCTCTCCTCTGCATTTTCTTTAGTGTTCATGGCACCAGTCTCCCAGTATTCTGATGACCATCATCCTTTTCTTGTAGTTCTTTTCCTTTCTCTTCAACTTTCTTCATAGAAAAGCAGGGATTCCCTATTTCTTCTTCGTCTTCTTCTTCTTCTTCTTCTTCTCCTCCTTCTTCTTCTTCTGCTTCTGCTTGGATGATCTCATGGATTTTCATGTTGTGCGATAAACAGTAAGTTGGACATTGGGGGTCAATATATGGCTAGAGGCCAACCCCGACGGGCACCCGGTGGTACCCACTGTTGAATACTTTCGGATCCTAGCATACGCTAAGGAACATTCCCCTTACTTGCCACCTTTTTTACTTAGCCACGGTTTTCCAAACAGTGACCAGGAATTAGCAATTGCAGAAATATATTATTTTCAATCTAGCAGCTAAAAGAGAGCTACTCCCTCTGCAAAACAAACGAACAGAAGACCAGCCAGCGCAAGGCACGCTGAAACCGTTTTCCTCAGCCTTTGTCTGTGCAGCTCTTTTGATTCTTTCTTGTCTGAGCAGTTCTCTCGATTCTCTCTTTCTTTCGGCTTTCACAAGGTTTCTCTTTTGCTTCTCCTTTCATCTCCCCCTTTATATGTGGCTCTCAGGCACAAAGCTTGCCACGTTCATCTAGAGTTGCGCACAAGCTGCCTGTGGCCCCATGTGCCGTAACGGCCCACTTACACACTGTAAGAAAGAGGCATAGCAAAGGGAGAGGGGATACCCGGGGGAGGCAAGAGGGACCAAAGGAAAACAAATGAAAGGCGGAGTCACCCGGAGTGTGGAATCTAGATGAGAGCATACAGAACAATAAGCGAATACTCAGAAGTAGTCCGTAGGAATGAGATTGGTGATCACACGAAAGACCCTGCTTTGCCACAACAGCTGGCATGAACCATGCCCGCCAAACACTCCTGGCAAATGTCATGTCGTCTTTTCAGGACACAAGGCAAGGAACAACGGGTATCAAACAAGCCCATGCATTAATCATAAGATTCATAACGTCCCCTGTCGCAAAATGGACATAGGATGTCCAGATGTGGAGGGTGTGCACAGTCGGGAAAGGAGGGAAGCCTCCTCTCCACACATAGCTGCAGAAAATCTGGCATTGCAGTGATTCTGCCAGTCTGAGACAGTTACACCTGCAGCCGAGCAGTGATTCTGGCACAGACCGTTACACCTGCAGCCGAGTGTAACAGTATGTGCAGCTGTGCAGACGAGATGGGCTTGACCTATTGCCATATTGCCCCGCTGAGGCACAGGGGCAGAGACGTGATCCTCAACATAAAAGAGTCTATGAATGGTTTGCTGAGGCAAGAAAACGTCACCATTGCGAAGGACCATGAGGCCGTTGTCCCAACATGTTCCCAGTGGTCAGAGGCATGACCGACGACCATGTAATGGAGGCCAGGTCCATGCACACAGGTAGAGGTGTAGGATGAAGCATCACGCGCGGGGTCAAGCAAGGTGCAGTTCAAATTGGCTGCCCCCCATTAGCAACCTCCATTGTAAGGCCTCGTTCCCTGGTATGGTTACTACCTTTGGCCTCTAGACACAGAAGATCCAAATCAATCTGAAGGACGGTTGCAAGAAAGTTCGACACGCCTGACATGCCACGGGCAGGAGATCTCCTGAAAGCGGGGAGGAACTGGACTAGCCCCTTGATCATTCCTTGGTTGCAAATTCATTGCATTACGAGTTGTGAAACAGTAATTTCCAATTTTTTCATATGTTTCGGTGTAGACGTACTGTAGAGAAAAATTGGAAACATATCCAGCGGCCTAGCTCAGTTGGTTAGGCATGCAAGGGGCATTCAGGAGGTTGTGGGTTCGAGCCCCATAAGTGTCTGCAGCACACTTAGGCCCCTATGAGCGCTTGATACCCCTGACCGGTATTAGTATGGTCTATGACCGACATGGGTGTGAGTGTGAGTGTGAGTGTGAATGTGACTGGGTTGTGTGTGGTGTGTCAGAGAGTGTTGGCCATAGCCACTGCTGCTACTTGGTAGGGGGTGGGGGAAGTAGATGGGAGGCACCTCGTGCCAACAAACTGTGATAGTCCACTTGATACCCCTGATTGGTACTATTAGGGTCTATGACCAAGTTGAACACGGGTGTGCGTGTGAATGTGAGTGCGAGTGTGAGTGGGTTGTGTGTGGTGTGTGGGAGAGTGTTGGCCATAGCCACTGCTGCTACTCCATAGGGGGTGCGGGAAGTAGATGGGAGGGGCAGCTACTGGCAAAATGCTCGGTCTTTGCGTTAGCCCGCCGTCCCCACTGGCAAACCCACCCTACTCCCTGACCGCCGCAGATCAGGGCGGGGGGAAAACATGCATCCCCTTGAACCACCAGTAATTGGCCCAGCTATCGGCCGCAGAAAAAAAAAGAGTAGAAACGTTTCTAGTTGGATGAATTTGGGCGCTCCTGTAGTAGCCCGTACGTTTCCTAAAATTGTGGCGCATTAACAGGCATGACTCGCGGAAGTACTGGTGAGAGGTAGCTATGTTTGCAGGGGTCCCCTGGATAGGCTTAGGAGTAGTGGTAGGTAGATAGTGAAAGGTGAAATCGAGAGAAGAATACATCATACTGATATATATTGTTATTCTGAAGCATAGAGGATTCTCCCACGCCCCTAAGAGCAAGTCAAGCAGACTCATGGGCCCACTCCATGATAACAAATTTATTGACCCCTGGCGGTTGATCTGAGTGTAGGCAGCCACAAGTAAACCAGGGACCACACTCAAATCTTGTATTTGGTTCAAGGTAACCATGGACGATTTGACTTGGTGCTTTTTTACCATCAGACTCCGTCATGAGAAGGGAACCTGGTTTGGTGGAGGGAGTGGGTAGGGGAGGAGAGGGGAGAGCGGGGAGGGCAATCACGGTAGACCTATGGCTGGCGTCCTGATTGCCCTGGGGTTGGGGTACAGAGTGACGTCCCTCTCCTTCTCGTTCACTTTTTTTTCCTCAATGAAATTTGAGCTTTTGAGCAATTTGCCAATTTCTCATTTCATGTGTGTCATTGGTTTCGCAGGGGCCCCTGTTAATCTTCTCCACGTCGTTCCATTCTACCAAAAGGGACAGTTAATCTCAAGGACAAGATTACCCATCAAATTTCAAAATGGTTTTTTGCTCTTCATAGTATAACTTTAAAAGTCTGAACACAAGCCCTGCGATTTGGCATTTACCTGAAGCAGACCCAGCCCGTCTACATTTGGCCATTTTTTACCATGCATCTGCATCTGCGCGGTCACCGCGGTGCATACACAAACATCCAGAAAAGGACCGGCCTGATACTTGCACATGCCAGAACAGTGCCCTTGTGTTCGATGATTCGATCCCCTTACATGTTTTCCTCTTTGTTGAAAGACGCGAACTTCACTCTCTCAGAGAGAAAAAGCAGCTCATCCCAAGGGGAGCCAGAGGGAGAGAGGAACCCAGGAGTCCACTCTCCCAAGAGGCCAACCATCCACAGACCACCCTAAAGGTATCCTTGTGCAGGACAGGATCAACCTCGAGTTGTGGGGCAGCACGTGAAACAACAAAAACATTTAAGGAGTAAAGCTAATATAATTCCAAAGGACAATGGAAAAGAGGGGGCTACCACTCTGGGAACTGCATCTCCAGACGGAAAATGGGAAAAGCATAAGTATTAAAAACCCATGAATCGACAAAGTCATGAACTTGCCACTGAACTCCAACTTTGCGTTTTGGGCAAAGTACAATTCACTACAGGTTCTTCATTTCTGACTGATGCCTTCCGTGGGTCTACT